CTTCAAGCCTTTAAGACCCCAGACACTATATCTTTTGATAGCCGGGCACCATCAGCTTTCTTCACCACATTTGCTTATGCACCTACTTTGTCTTCAGCGTTCCTGTCAGGGAAGGTGAGCACCACAGAATGCCAGGTTATTAGAACAAAGTGTTCTTGTGTTGAGGGAGGACTTGAGGAGAGGCCCAATACATTGACATCTTAATATGCCTACTAATAGACTCTTTATGAGAATCATACCATGGGGTACCTTTAAAAAAAATGAAACCACGTAAAAGAATTGAAGACATCTTTTCCTTTTGCAGTGTTAAAGCTGATTCTACTGCTTGATGCTATTGACTTACCTGCTAACTCAGGGTTACTTCTTCCCAGAAGCTGGGCCCTTCTCTTAAGAAAAAGTGCGGTCAACTTATGCTTTCCTTTCTCATACCCTTGAACCCACTTACTGGTCATCAGTTTCCATCGTGCCGCCCCGTCGAGCCTCGCCTTGGATGGATTCCATGGCTGTGGAATACAGAGCCTTTTGGGGGGCTGGTCTTCGAGTGTCAGTTGAATTCTGTGCTTCACTGCCTACTGCTTCTCGTTGTGCATGATCTGTGTTGTGGACGGATACCAAAAGGCTGTAGTCCATTATCTTGAAGCTCTGAAGTACCTAATGGGAGGAAAGACCACAATCAAAGACTTGGAAAGTATGCGAACTTTTGTCACAATCTCACAGTTCTCATGATACAGTTATTCTTTATTGTGAGTCTTCAACACTAACTACAGGATTACCCTTTGTTCCTACTGTTTCTTGGAGAAGAGTCAATTAACCTCCTCATGCCACTCTTTAAGGAGCTCTGGTGAGGCTACATGCGAAGTGTTGGGATCCTAACTGCAAGTCGGCAGTTCAAGCCCACTAGCTGCTCCAAGGGAAAAACGCAGAATCAACTCAATGGCAGTGGGTAAGGTGACAGTACTCGTTATGGACACCTTCCCTCTCGAGCACACTCTCTGAAGTCACACTTGGTAAAGTGGAGGGTGAAAGTCCTCCACAAGACGGACTGATACAGTGGCTGCAAAAATGGGCTCAAACATTAAGAAGCATCCTGAGGCTGGCACAGGACCAGGGGGTGTTCTGCTCTCTTGTACACAAGGTTGCTATGAATCAGAACCAACTTGAGAGGACCTAACATTTGAGTATCTGAGTATTATTTTTTTAAGCTCCCCTGCCTAGCCCACAAGCCCTGCTTTATTTGTTTTATGTTTCACTTCATGGAAACAACATATTCTCAAAAGAAAAAGTACGTGGTACCCCAAAAAAGGGGCAATAGCTCCGCTAGGTGGAGCTTTCATAGTACTCATTTTCCCTGCTAAGCGAGCATCAGGCAACTCGCTCTGAGTTAGTGCACCCAGTAGCGTTGCCTGGGAAGGTTCTCTCTGGTCAGTGAATTTTTTCCATAAAAGCAGTTTCACTCAAACCTCGTTTTTTGTGATGGCCAATTTAAGAGAGAACAGCATGCGGCTGTTCTAAGCATGGGGAAAATGCCACAGAAACTGTTGTGATGTTGAACACAGTATACAAAGACAGCATTATGGGAAAAACTCAAGTGTACGAGTGGTTTTCTCGTTTCAAAAAACGTAAAATGTTGACTGGTGACAAACCTCATTCTGGAGACTGTCAACTTCCTGAACAGACAAAAATGTTGACTCATAGTGAATTTGGAGCTCATTCGACCAGGTCAGGTTGTTAATCAAGCAAGCTTTCTATTTAGAGGTTCTGAAAAGATTGCCTAACAGATTGCGTGCAACAAAAAAGGCCTGATTTATATAGCCTTCCCTTCCAAAGAAGGATGAATAACAGAAAGGTGGGTGAAGGGAGACAACGGACAGTGTAGGACACGAAATAACAATAATTGTCAAGGAATCGTGAGGGTGGGAGTGTAGGGGAGGGAGAGGGGAAAAATGAGGAGCTGATACCAAGGGCTCAAGTAGAAATTGTTTTGGAAATGTTGATGGCAACATATGTCCAAGTGTGCTTAATACTATTTAAGGATGAATTGTTATAAGATTTGTAAGAAACCCCCAATAAAATGATTTTTAAAAAAGGCCTGATTTGTGGCAGACTTGGGCGGGAGGGGGCAGGGCAAGGCACTGGTTTTGCCACCATGACAATGCACTTGCTCACACAGACACCTCGCTGCGCCGGGATTTGGCAAAAAACCAGCATGCCTCTCTTGCCCCACACGCCTTCCTCACCTGGTCTTGCTCAGCGTGACTTCTTTTAGTTTCCAAGAATGAAGAGGGACATAAAAGGAGTGATTTGATGAGGTAGAAGACATGAAGAAAAAAATGAGGGAGGTGCTATTAGGCATCCAAACAGATGAGTCTGAAAAATGTTTCCAAGAATGGAGATTTGTCAAATGTATTAAATGTAATGGAGAATACTTTGAAGGCGATAAGGTTGTTTTGTAAAAAAAAATTAAATTACACAGCTTTGGAAAAAACATTCCATTTTGGGGGGGGTACCCCCTTGTATATTTGTGCTGTAAAGAATACACAAGGAAAGTCCACTAAGAGGACATATCATGAGAGAGGACATCTGTTGGAGGATCTTGTATTATCAGTTTCAATTCATTTCAAGATTACTGAGTTCCCATCATGTGTAAACACTGTGCCTCATTATGGATATTTAAAAGTACGTGAGAGCGTTCCTGGTCTCAAGGATATTATAACTTAATGTAAATACATTAAAGACGAATACATACAATAGATGTAATTACAGAATGAAAAGCACTATAGAGAAGACCAGGTAGTGACTCATAAGTAGGTTTGTAGAAGATAAATGGGAGCAAAAAGAAGTCCAAATAAGCAATCAGAAGAAAAGCGTATTATCAAGGCCCAGAGTCATTATAAAATATGGTACCTGCAGGGAAGCATGATTTGCTATTGGTGGAACATAAAACACAAGGAATACGAGTGGTAGATTAGAGAGGGTGACAGATGTAAGGCAATCAATCATAGATCTGATTTGTCATGATAAAGAGCATAAACTGTACCCTAAAGTTGTCAACACTCCCATTAGCTCCAAAAAACTCAGCCAGAGTTTTTGAGTAGGAGGGTGAAGTTAGAAAGCAAGAGAGCACAGGACTGATTCTCAGGTATAGTTTGAAAAACCCTGAGTAAACCTCTCGTCCTTGCAACCAAAGTTGAGTAACTGAAATAAGAACCACCCTGATGCAGATGTAGAGTGAACACAGGAGGGCAGAGAAAAACAGCCTTAAGAAAGGAGGAGATCACTGCAAAAGCAGTCTGAGGAACGCAAGTGCGAGCTGTGGAAAGAGAGACTGTGAAAGGTGTCACAGAGCCAACAGGGTGTGTGTCCAGTAGAAGGAACCAACTTCAAATGACCAAAAGTTTACGACTTTGACATCTAGGTGGTCACAGGTGTGGCAGTGTTTATGGAAGTGGTCACAACAGAAGCCTATGGACTGTGGCCTGAAAGAGAGATAAGAAAGAAAGATGAGCAATGGAGTGGTCGGTGGTTGAAGATGAGAAAAAGGAAATAAGTGATGTGAGAACATGAAGAATGGATCGAGAGCTCAAGCTGGGGAGAAAGGAGGCTAGAATGGTTTTAAGTGTAGATACATGAGTAACTGGTAATAGAGCAGGACAAAGGGATGGAACAAGATAGAAAGGTGGACCCTTTCCCTGAAAAACAAGGGGAGACGGGGAGTTGGAAAATGTTGAAAAGAGTGCCAAACATCTGAAATCTCTGTTGAGAGAAATAGGAAATTGATTGATGAGCAATACAGAAGGCTCAAGTGAAGCTGGATTTCCCAAATCTGTAGTCTATTAGAATTATCAACTATTTCAGATTTTAAAAAGGCAGTATTTCCCCAAGGACAGAGTTCAGAACGTTAGGAAAGGAGGAGTGGCAACTGGAAACCAGGGAAAAGCGGGTAAGTGAGGGTACCTTGAGGGGTTGGCAATGGATGAGGTGAGACAAACTGTATATGAACTATTGAATGTATGCTGTGATTTACTCAGTAAACTTTCATCTACTTTACAATAAAAACTTAATAAATAAAGCTACAGAGGAGCCAATATGTGAAGTTTAACAGGCTGTTTTAGTGATTTGAGATTTTTGATGTCTAAAAAAGGCAAATACGAGAAACTTACCAAACAGTCACGCTGCAGGGTCTTACACAGAGCATTGTACATGTCAGCATCCAAAAACAGACCATCAGGTATGTCTTGTATGAAGTCCAGGTCTTTTAGGGTAGGGAGAGGCTTGTCTCGTTCTTTTTGAGAAGCCCGCCGTTTGTAGGTTGAGCCCTTCAGGTCATATTTGACATGCATTTTGACTGATCGTGGCAAGAGATTGTTCATCACTACAATTCGAATGTTCTTACCACCTGCCTGCACACAGTACAATCCATAGAACTTAGGCAGCAATGTCCGAGGGTTCTGGTTGAGGTTCTGAGAGCACAAAACCACAAAGGAAAGAAAGTTAGCTCTTCTCACTTAACTCAAGAGCTAAAGCTGCTAGCTCGTTTAGTCTCCTACATTGGACTCAGGCACAGTCTGTCTGAAATGAGCCCACACGATGTGTTAAAAACTCCTCAATATATTGACCTCAATGGTTGAATCACCACTGAGCCGAGCCACAGGTCCAACACAGTCATCAGTAAAGCTTCTAAATGTATGAGTCTTATTTATTCAACAGGGTTGAAAGAGTCTTGACCTTTACCCTGGCGAGAGTACAGGTAAAACCTGTACTATCTAGCACCTCCAAAAGTTTATCAGTCAGAACGAGAGCAAATACACTATCAATGGAAATAACCCACCTTATGCCACTATATAGGGCAGTGTATCACAAAGTGAGTGATTCCATTCCTTGGGGGTGGGGGACAGAGGACGGGGATAGGCAATAAAATGAGCCAGGGGACCAGGGAGGGGGAAAGAGGAGAGCTGTAAAAGCAGGCACCTTCATTGTATCCTGGATTGTGGGCTACAGTACAAAAGTTTTTAACTGCTATGCAGGTGCTGAGTAATTCTTTTCATAACAGGGGAAGCACGCCAAATAAGTCTGGGAACCTATGATCTAGTACAGGCGTCCTCAAACTATGGCCCGCGGGCCACATGCAGCCTGTCAAGGACATTTATCTGGCCCGCCAGGTGTTTTTTCCCATCTTTGTTTTTTAACTTCAAAATAAGATATGAGCAGTGTGCATAGTTATTTGTTCATAGTTTTTTTTTTTAACTGTAGTCTTGCCCTCCAACGGGTCTGAGGGACAGTGAACTGGCCCCGTTTAAAAAGTTTGAGGACCCCTGATCTAGGAGCTAAATGTCACTAAGCCTTCTCTAAGTGAAATAACACTTAAAATAGGACAGATAAAATCCTTCTAGCCACTGAGAGGCAAGAGAGATGATGTAACAAGTACAAAAATAGACTAGGTTCTCAGGACAGAAGCACTGACATTGCTCTGTGCCCAGACTTGTCCAGGAGTGGGCAGCACAGGCAGCCAGGCTAGGCTTCTTTCCCCTCACCATGTAGTATCCCGGAAGCAGCTTCTGGAGAAACTCCGCTTCTTTATGCTGGACCGTCTTAATGATGAATTCATCGTCACTGGATACGTAGAAAAGGGAGCCGCTGGCCCCAGAGTTGCAGAGTTCAATCAGAGGCTCACTGCAAAGAGAGTACTGGCCAGAGAGAACGGAGTATGAGAGTCAGAGACATTAGAGATGCAGTTGTATTCTAAAGAAAAACTGGAGCGAGATTGGCCGTGGGTGTCTTCCTTTGGGAATAATCCCCTAAGCGTCATGGGGTCCTGATTTCTAGAAACTTACCAAGTAATCATCGGGCCGGATGCCAAATAGCTCCCGAAAGTAGCGGAAGGCAACGGGTGCATATGTCTTAAAACGAAAGTCATTGTAGTGATGAGCAGGAGTCAGATTACTCCCTTCGCTGGGGGATTAAACAGACAAAAGTCCTAATATACCTGTCTCTGTCATCCAGGGAGTCTGCCCCTCCCCGCCCCCTGCCCAAGACATTCAGAGTCATCCAAAGGAAAGCTAATACATCCCTGCTTTCATAACCAATGGGATTAGGTCAGTTACTTAAATGTTGAGACAAAGACACAGTGTGAGAATTAAGTCACAGGTCCAGAAGATTCATTTTATCTCCTACTTATCATATAACTCGTGTATAAGCTGAGTTTTTCAGCACATTTTTTATGCAGTTTTGTGGTACAATTAGGTGCCTTGGCTGATATTCAGGTCAGCTTATACTTGAGTATATATATATAGTAATGCATTAATTTGCTAGAATTCATTCTATAGGCTAGAGGCTCACGAAAGGATCTAGGAGACAGCATCGGCTCTCCAAACTCTCCAGTCCCACATCACCTTAATTTGTCTAGCTGCATTAAAATCAGGCTTAAGGGGGAAAAAAATCAGGTTAAGGACTAAGCAGGTGACTAAATTAGCTATGCCTGGACCCCTAAAACTGCCCTGGGGAAGCTACATTTCCCAAGACATTAATCTTTGTACCTGGGGAAGAATATACTCTCCACCACGTAGAAATCTTGCATGAGGACATCCCGTTCTGGTTTGGTACTTAGGCTCCCCACAGTGTGAGTAATGCCTAATTGGATGGCACCTTTCAAGGCTGATGAGGTTGTCTGAGAAACAGAAAGGAGAAGAAACGTTCTAGTATTGAGTTTCCCCATACCAACAAAGACCCAGGAGGGAAGAGCTAGCAGGCAGACTTGAAAGCAAATGTTTTCCCAGTACTTCCTCCTCGCAGGGCTTTGTACTGGCAGTGAAGCACAGATGGGGAATGCAGACCAGCCTCAGTAGAGCAAGGTGTGCCTTCCTGTTAGCGTGCCTACACAGCAAGTTCTACATCTAATCTTGGGAGAAACATTGTTTTGAGGGAACCATCTTCAATCTTACTCCTTAGTTTCCTGCCCCCAGGGATCTGTGGCCCTCTAAACATTTTATTCAGCTAGCATAGAATGCAACTAAAAATTAACCAATTATCTGATTGACTACCTGGATACGAAGCATCAGCTTCTCTAAGACTGGGCTTGATGAATGGCCCAAAGACAGTGGAATGGCAAAAAGAACTCCTGAGGAAGACTGCATGAAAAACTCAATTTCTGAGGAAGAAATATTTGTATTTAGAATTATTATACTATGGCAATTCTAAAAACAGAAATACAAAAATCCCACTTTCAACCCATGATGTGACATTTAAAAAAATAACAATTAAATTCACTTTCTCAGCCTTACTAGTCACATTTCTCAAGATTACCACTTAGCACAAATAGAGCACATTTCAATTACTGTAAAAAGTTCCATGAGATAACTTTGCTCTAAAGTGTATTCCTCGTCTCTAATGCCCATCCAACATTATCTGTATTTCTATCTAGTCCTCACTGGGTATTAAAATTACAACAAATTACTTATGTATTTGTCTCTCTAACTGACCAGATCAAACCAAACCAGACTCATTGTCAGAGTCTATTCCACCTTGTAGCGTCCCGAGGACAGAGGAGAACTGCCTCTGTGGGTTTCTGAGACTGCACACCTTTACGGAAGTAGAAAGCCTCATCTTTCTCCTACAGAGCAGTTGGGGGTTTCACATAGCTGACCTTGTGGTTAGCAGCCCAAGCAACCACTAGCTCATCTTTTTATCTCAATGTTCAACAAGTAAAAGGAGCTCAATACACATCTGTTGAATTGATAAGGGCCTCACAGCCTATTCCAGGGTAAGGTCACTGACTGAAAATATGGGTCAGTCCAATGTCTGCTTTTTGGACAATGCAATAAAGGCAGAGAACAGACACAAACTAACACAGGCCAAAAACAGGAGTCTTAGGAAACCAGCGGACTGTACCAAGACAAGGTCCAAGTACAAATGCTAAGAAGTAAGCGGAATACTGTCCCTAGGGAAGCCTAACAATCCACAACTTTACCAAGAATTGAAAGGTTGGGATTACTCCAGGATGCTTCTCTCTTGCTTTACTTTATCCAGGATGCTTCTCTCTTGCTTTACTTTATCAGTTCAATTTTGCCTTTGGGGCTATTATGACTACCTTTCCACTCTGCCTAAGGTGCACTGGTGGCACTACCATATCAGTGGTTCGAACCTACCAGTCACACCTCAAAAGAAAAATGAGGCTATCTGCTCCCATAAAGATTTACAGTCTCAGAAATGACACAAGGTTGCCAGAGCCGAATCCACTTGATGGTAGTGGATTTGTGGGGATTTCATTTGTTCAATATAACTCAAAAGGCAGATATTCTAGACGCTATCCACCAGATGGAACTTTTTTTAAGGAGAGAGAGAATAAAAGAATTAAAAAATAAAAACCAAAGCACTCCAAGTTGCTGCCTATCCATTTCATGTACACACAGCACCTGAGGAGAGCTGTCAAGTAATATGGTTCCCTACAGTCAGGTAATAATGACTTTGAGGACCCACTTCAACTTGATACCTTAAATAAGGAAACCCAGTTTCGCCAGCTCAATGAATTAGTATGCAGCACTAGATTTACCTATTAACAACATTTTCATTTCAATACACATATACAGATAGGAGACAATTCATCCTTTGAGGAAGAAATTCACAAGCTCAAGTTGTATGATAGCTATAGTGCAAAGGCTTAAGCTACCGAGAAATAGTGTAGAGTGTGGGGGATAACAGAACAGAGCTGTCCCCTCTGAGTTCCTGGAGTAAGATGAGAGGGTTTCACCCAAACACACCTTTTTATATGTTGTTTCTCCTGTGGAATCAACACTCCGGTGGCCTATTTTCTTAATGGGCATGCCAGAAGCACAAGGAACCTAGAAAGAGAGTCAAGATTACATAATACATTAAACAGCTACCCTTCTGGTCCATCAAAACAAAATAAATCAAAAAACACTGAGCACACTCGTTCGAGGTTGTTGTTGGTAGGTGCTATCTAGTCGGCTGCAACCCTATGTTCAATAGAACAAACCCTGCCCGGGCCTGGACCATCCTCACGATTGTTGCCATGTTGGAGTTCGCGGCTGCAGCCACTGGGCCAATGCACCTCAGTCAAGGGCTTCCTCTTTTTCAGTGACCTTCTACTTCACCCGAGTGTGACTACCTTCTCCAGCAATATGCGAAATAAAGCCTCTTCTTGATTCCAAGGAGCATTCTGGTTGCACGTCTTCCAAGACATATTTGTTTGTTCTTCAGGAATTCCACGAAACATTCAATATTCTTCACTAAAACCATAACTTAAATGGCATCAATTTTTCTCCTTATTCATTGTCCAGCTTCCGAATGAATGCATGTGAGGCAACTGAAAATACCAGTTTGGGTCTTGAAGACCAACCCTATGCATATAGTGCTGCTTTTCCCACAGATTTAATGTAGACAAAAAATTCTAAGGGACACATAGTTCACTCTTGGTTCTCCCAAAACTGCTGTAGGAAATAAAAAGGAGTATCATTGAAGAAAAATAGAAACAGAAAAAGGAAGGGCTATCAGTCCCAGAAAATGCAATAAATCTCAGTTCACAAAAGCAATTCAAATTAAAAGCAGAGTCCTACAGACCTACTGTCCCCTAGCTTCCTCTCAGAAATTACTTCTTCTCTCTTCCCCTCTAACCTTCAACCTAACCCAAATATCTCCAGCATAAGTAACTAGCCACTGCTAAATAGAATTCTATAGCCCAAGAATTATAATGTGGACACAGTTAAGACAGTGCTTCTGAGACAGCAGCCACAGTGCCTCCACGAGATACAAAGAAGATGACAGGGCTTTGTCTTCCACCCACATGAATGCCCCTTAAGTCAGGGTTGACTAGGAGGGCAGAGCTTAAAAGGCTATTCCCAAAAGCTAAGCGATCAGGGTAACAGGCTGGAGGGCACACTTCATGATGTCAATGCTCATTAAGTTAATAAGGCAGGAGGCAAAAAGGCTAAAGGAAATAAGATGTCACAATTTTATGACAACATTCAAGTTCCACTTTCTTGGCCAGGCCCTTAGGACCAGAAAACCCTCAGTAGATAACCTGACAGATCTAGAAAGCTCTTTGGGGTAGAAAAATCTACATCTCAGGCTAAAAGGGTCAGCATTCTGAGCCCCCTTCACAAAACCTTAGGAAAGCAAGAAACAAGAAGAGGGTTAAGAAATGCTCCTAGGAAGAAAGTTAAAGATAGTCAACATAGGAAAGAAAAACATAGTAATCTTCAGTTTCTGGTAATTAAAAGAAACACTTTTTTGTATTCACTGCACGTGTGGGTCGAGGAAGTCAGTAACAACAAAGTAGGTTAGGTATCAGACTGCCTAAGTTTGAATTCCAGACTTACCACTTATTATGTGACTTTCAACAGGTTACACTATCTCTAAGCCTCACTCTACTGTAAAATAGTGATAACAATAGCACTTACCTCATAGACTTGCTTTCCGGATTAAATAACAATATCTATATAAAGAAAGGTGCCCCAGTAGCTTAAGGGTTAACTGTTTGGCTGCTAACCAAAAGGTCTTCAGTTCAAACCCACCAGCTGCTCTCTGTGGGAGAAAGCCGTAGCAGCCTTCTCCTGTCAAAAGAGCAGCCTTAAAAACCCTGTGGGCAGTTCTGCTCTGGCCTAAAAATCCTTACGAGTTAGAATTGACTGGACAATACACAATATAAAGGAACTTACCACAGTCATTGATAGATTTGACAAATGCTCAAGAAATGTGAGATCTTAATAATAAATTGCAATCAAGCCAGAGTGGTATAATTTCAGGTTTGAGTGGCATAAGCAATTTATCACTGGTTGCTAACATAAAGGTTGGCCATCTGAGCCCACCTAGTAACACCCTGGAATAAAGGCCTGGTAACCTGCTTCCATAAAGAAATTACCAAGAAAATCTTATGAAGCAGTTCTCCATAATACATGGGGCTGCCACGTGTAGGAAATCAAAACTTGATAGTAAACGGTTTGATTTTAAAAAAAATAAAACATCTGGCCTAGGTTTAAGAGTTTTAGTTTCTAAAACCTAAAAGGGGGTAGAGGCGGGGGTGGAAGTAAAGGTTTCATAAGGTATCAAAATCCTGAATCACTCTTGTATCAAACTCACCTCAGCTGCCATGGGTCTCCTGACTGCAGATGCTGTTAAAAAAAAAAATTCAATTTTAAGTGTGTACACAGTACTTTCACAATCCCTGTCAAGCACACTGAATGAATTAAGTGTGTGACTCCAACTACACAAGACAACACGCTCCTGCCTCTTGCTCGATGACCCTAGGTTCTTTAGGATAAGGATTTGAAGTGTCTCTTTCCCCCCTGCTGCCACATTCACAGAGCCTTTCCACTCTTATGTGTTAATATTTTGTTCTTGATACATTTAACCAGTAGAGTCACTGCGCCTCTTTTGACCTGATGACTGAAAGAGAAAAGGCTTAAAGCATATCTAAGACTCAGAATTAAGCCTCGGACTCGATTGATATTTTTCCCTGTCGAGATGAACCTTGGATAGAACTTTCAAGGCCTATCTATGGTACTCTGTACCTGTGTTCATTATTTTGAATGACAGTGATGAGGTGGATGCAATGAGTCTATGGAGACAGGTAGGCTAAGGATGAGAAGAGGCGATGTCAGTAAGCCAGAAACTGACTCCTCATCCTGATTTCTACTGTCAACGCAACAGGAATGTGTTGGTTTAAAATTTACTTACTAAATATTTACTCAGCACAGACACGAAAGGTAAGTCTGTGGCTAAATGTCACAAGTATTAGTTATGACCTTTATCTACTTAATCTACTCTAGAGTATATCTACAGAAATTTGCTCTGAAAGGTTAAATCAACTGGAAAGGGTTTGCTATCCCTGTAGCATTCATCCCTGTGACACTGAGACAGCTTAGCCTTTTTCTCATAATGGAGAAAGCTGGTTTTTGGAATAAAGATTAGCCATATGAAACTGGGATGACTTTCTAATAATGTGAACTATTATCTGAGTAGAATGATCTCAATTCCAGTCCATATAAGGTGATTACTAGGTAAGGCAGTTAACAAACACAAAAGATTTTATGGCAATTAGATAAAGCTCTGATTTTTGACGATGAATGTGATGCTATTCCTCCTGAATTTGTCGTTCTTGGCATAGTAGATATAATTGTCTGATTCAAATGGTCAATGTTAGTCCATTTCAGGTTACTAATGCCTAGGGTATTGATCTTTATACACTCCATTTAATTTTTGATGACTGAGCGCTCAGACCAAGAAACACAAGAAAAAGATAAGCAACACACAAGACTTACTCTCTTCATTGCTTAAACTTTCACCCTTAGGGCGGATCCCAGTTATTACACAACAGTAAACCAAAATAGAAAATAAAAACAAAACCTTGAGAACTTAATCAGTCTTGCTATAAAAAGGTGTGCCCCAAGGAAGAGCAGCATAGGTATACAGGGAATGAGGTATCATCTACTAAAACTTGGGTCACTTGCACTGGGCTTCAGGTATGAAGACCAGGTCTCAGGAAACACACACACACTCAAGTAGCATACTGTAGTTCAGAAAGCCTACTGAGGCCTTACTATCGCATGAGAGCAGCCATCTATAACAAAACGATTGGTCTCCCAGCCAGAGCAAATAAGAGTGAAGAAAACCACAGACTCAAGGACACCATTTGTTCAAATGACCAACGGATCACCATCACCACCCTGAAACAAGAAGAACTAGATGGTACCTGGCTAGCACTACCAACCACTCTGATAGAGATCACACTAGAAGGTCCTGAACAGAGTGGGCAAAAAAGGTAAAACAAAATAAAAACATCATTAAAAAGCCTAGAGTTACTGTTTCAAAAGAGATTGGTGGAAGCCCCAAGGCGCTAGCCCTTAAGATTTCCTTCAAATCTGGAACTGAAACCCATTCCCACTTCCAGCCAAACACTAGACAGGCCTATCAAATGAACAGTAACTTACACTCATGAACAAAACATGTTCACCTGAACAGTCAACTATACCAGACCAGAAGCATTTGCCCACACACACAGTTTCCTGCCTTTGTTTCAGGTCATGAAACAAAGTGTGTATAAGAAATTGTGCAATAGAAAACAAATTTGCTTTATAAGCTTTCACCGAACCCACAATACAATGTTCAAAACAAAACTTGACCATTTGGCCCAAAGCTTTGCAACAAGAAAATATCTACTGGAGAAGTTCATGAGATAAACCAGCACTGTACCTGTTTATCCCACTATTAGGTCTTCTTTTTAGTAAACACCAAAACACTGTATAACTGTGAGAGAAAAGCTAGGAAGCAAGGGAGGGAAAAAAGGAAAAAAAAAAACCCAGGGAAATACCTGCGTTGGAAATGCCAGTCAGATCATGTTGAAAGGTAATTAGGATTCAGCCCAATGGATAGGCCCAGAATATTCTTCAGCAGGAAATTTTTCTTCTGTCATTTTTGTGAAAAACTCTGGAATAAGTCTATTGTCCCATAATTTTTTTTCAGGTGGCGACTACATGTGTGTGTACGAAAATAATGATGTGTGCTATATATAGGACCAATTCTGACTCACACAAACCCTATATACCAGCTATTCTCAACCTGTGGGTCGCGACCCCCCTTGGGGGTTGAACGACCCTTTCACAGGGGTCGCCTGATTCATAACAGTAACAAAATTAGTTATGAATACAAAATTAGTTATGAAGTAGCAATGAAAATAATTTTATGGCTAGGGGTGTCACCACAACATGAACTGTATGTATTAAAGGATCGCAGCATTAGGAGGGTTGAAAACCACTGACCTAGATTATAGGTGACCATGAAATTGAAAAAACAAAGGATAGTTAAGCTGCTTTTGCTCTATGAATTTGTAGTATATTCCTTACCATCTTTGTTTCCCTATGCTGTCATTTATTAAAAAGGTTCGATTAAAAATCCTCACAGGCCCTTTCTAAGTGACTTTCCCTACTTCGGTAAAATTGGTTATGATCTGTTAGCTTGAAGCTTTACTTGTTGCTAATGGAGCTAAATCCTCAGCTTGAACTACTTAAAGCAACCACTTTCATTACCAGCTGTAGCTTTTCACCCAGATTGAGCTAGTCTTTGCCACATAAAAACATTTCCAAGAGCCAGGGTGCACTCTTGTGCCTCTCGGTCTTTGTGATCTTACTCTTTTCTGCAAAGGCATTAGGGGCATGACTGGGTCTGTATTGTCAGATCCATTAAAAAATAAGTTACTTGACCATTATTGTTTACTCTCTGATGCAGCCTGTTTGTCCTGAATTTTTATTTTTTAGCTTCCAATAAAGCAGTCTTAGCTAGGAGTTTAGAATGCCTTTTGGTACAGGGCTTATTAATAAAGTATGAGTCCCACAGTCATGAAGGAAGCAAATGTGGCATGAATTGGGAAAACACTGGGATATAAAAATAATTTCACCAATAGAACTTCAACCTTAATGTTTTCTCCTGAGAAAACCTTTCAGAAAGAAGTCAGGTAAGATGAAGACGTATGTTCTATTATTTTCCCCCTAAACTTTATTATGGAAAATTTCAGGGGAATAGGGCAAAAAAGGAAAAAAAATTCAGACATGCACAAAATAGAAAGAGTAGTAAGATAACCTCCTTCCATGTGCTCACCACCAGATTCATCAGCAACATTTTACCAATTTCTTGCTTCTGTATCTTCTCATTCTCCCATCTCTGCTCCCAGGAATATTTAAATAATTTATTTTTGCTTTGGTTCATTTAAAATAGACTGGCTTTTTTATTTGTCTCAGAACTCTCTCTAGGAAGAAGGGAGGTGGGGAAAGAGGCGCTTATACCAAGGGTTCAAGCAGAAAATGTTTTGGAAATGATGGCAACATATGTACAAATATGCTTGATACAATTGATGTATGGAACGTTATAGAGCTATAAGAACCCCCAATGAAATGATTACCAAAAAAAAAAAAGGAACTCTCTAACCCTCACTGCCATCTAGTCAATTTTGACTTATGGAGACCCTCTAGCAACTCTTACAGTCTTTTAACAATTCATACATCCATTGTGTAAGCATATTTGTACATACGTTGCCATCATCCTTTTCAAAACATTTTCTTACTACTTAAGCCCTTGGAAGCAGCTAGTTTTTTCCCTCCCTTCCCCACCCTCCCACTCTCATGGACCCTTAATAAATTATGTTATTATTTTTATACCCTATACTGTCCACTGTCTCCCCACGTTTGTTGTTCATCACCCTGGATATGTGGGGGGGGGTATGTATCCATCATTGCAATCAGTTCCCCTTTCTCCCCCTACCCTCATGGTATTGCTACTCCCATTACTGTTCCTGAGGGGTTTATCTGTCCTGGATTCCATGTATCAAGAGCTCTTATCTGTACCAGTGTACATGTTCTGGTCTAGCTGGATTTGTAAGGTAGAAATGGGGTTAGTAGTGGGGAGGAAGCATTAAGTAAAGAGAGGAATGTTGTATGTTTCATCGGTGCTATACTAGCATCCCGACTGACCTGTCCCTTCCTTGTGACCCTTCTTTGAGGAGTCCCAACTGTCTACAGATGGGCTTCATTCGGGTCTCCACTACACACCCCTCATTCACATGGGCATGATTATTTGTTTTGGATCTTGTGATGCCTGATACTTGATCCCATGGACACCTCATCATCACACGGGCTGGTGTGCTTCTTCCATGTGGGCTTTGCTGCTTCCCAGCGAAATGGCCACTTGTTTAACTTCAAGCCGTTAAGACCCCAGACACTTATCTTTTAATAGCCCGGCACCATCAGCTTTCTTCACATTAGCTTATACACCCATTGTGCCTTCAGAGATCATGTCGGGAAAATGAGCATCACAGAATGCCAGGTTATTGGTACCAAGTGTTCTTGGCGTTCAGGGAGGGCTTGAGTAGAGGTCCAATGTCCGTCTGCTACCTTAATACTTAACATATAAATATATGTACACAGATCTACGTCCCTATCGCTACATATAGATATATTTACATATGTACATGCCTGTATTTATACCTCTATAAATGTCCTTTGCCTCCTAGTTCTTTCTTCCATTTCCTTTTACTGTCCTCTTGTGCCACTATCATGTTCAACCTTCATTCGGCTTTCAGTAATTCTTCTCAGCTACACTGCACTTAATCAAACCCCACCAG